CCACCAAGTCAAGCCCCTAGTGGGTGAACGACAAAGGACTGATTAACAGATGCAACTCTCATGCAGGTTGCTTAATAATAGGGGTGAACCTTTGACATTGATCGCATTTTCGCACGTAGGTTTGCACATCACTCTACATATGTGACCACCAATATCCCAATGACATGATTCGATGGGCCATGAATCTTTTACCTGAGTGCCCCCCATAGATGCCTTCAAGCATTTCATACAGGAGAGGCTCAACTTTATCTTCGCAAACACAAAGTAGATAGGCCCCTGAAAAAGATTTTTGGTATAACTTTTGATCTGGGGAGGCCCAGAATCTTGGCACCTTCAGCCTTACTTTCCTGGCTTGCTTGGGAAAATCTGGGAGTTCCCCCATCACAAGGAATTTCAGAAGGGGATATATCCAACTAGGGGGCTCTCTCCATTCTTGGACTGTTAGAACTTATGGAATGTCATCTATGCTTGAGCTTGGAAGATATTCCACTGTGATCCTCCGGGTCATTTCAAAGTTTAATGTCGAGGCCAGACATGCTAATGCGTCGGCATGGGAAACTTGTTTGACCTCCAATTTTTCGAACCTCTGGAGCAACATCATGACTTTGTGGTAGTAAGCCTTCATCCTCAAATCCCTTGCTTCAAACTCTCCATTGACTTGGTTAACCACCAGCAACAAGTCACAAAAATTAAAAGTACGGCGGCCCCAGCTGCTTTGGCAAGGTTAAGTCCAGAGAGAGCCTCGTATTCAGTTTCATTATAGACGCCTTGAATACTAGCCGCACAGCCTGTTCTGTGACTAATCCATCAGGGGAAACCAACAACACCCTAATTTCGGAACCCTTGTTGTTGGAGGATCCGTCCACGCATAGTTTCCAAGGGCCAACATGGCTCCCCTCCGTGGGTGTTTCCTCGAGCGGGAAGGGCTCCCCTTGTGTGAATTTGACAATGAAGTATGTCAGGACTTGACCTTTTATCACTGTGCAAGGTTTATAATGGATGTTGTATTCAGCTAACTCCACCACCTACTTTGCTATTCTTCTGGAAAGGTCAAATTTCCTCAGGATGGCCCTTAAAGGTTGATCCGTCAAGACTGTGACGGGATATGCTTGGAAGTAGTGCCTTAACTTTCGGGCGGCCGTGACTAGCGCCAACGCGATATTTTCTAAGGGGAGGTATCTCGTTTTTGGATCTAGAAGGGCTTTACTCACGTAGTATACTAACTTCTGTTCCTCCTATCACTCATGAACTAATACACTGCTGACGGCAAACTCAGAAAACAGCTAAATAGAGAAATAATTTCTCCCCTCGCTTTGGGACCGACAAGGTCATAGGATCCCGAGGTCTCCCTTGATTCCTTTGAGTGCTTTTTCACATTCCTCATTTCAAGTATCTTCCTCAAGCCTCTTGATCACATTCAAAAAGGGTCTACATTTATCCGAGGAACGAGGTATGAAATGGTTCAAGGTAGCCAATGTTCTTGTGAGTTTTTGGATGTCGCAGATAGTTCGGCGACTATGCACATCCATGATAGCCTATATATCTGCTCCAGGTTGGCCTTGATACCTTGCCGACTCACCAAATATCCCAGGAAATTTCCAGAGCCAACTCCAAAGAAACACTTGGCCGCATTCAGATTTAGCCTGTACTTACGGAGTGTATCAAAGGCATCCTCCAAGTCCGTCAGGTGATCGCCTCGATGCCTATTTTTGACCAACATATCATTAATGTACATTTCCATGGTATTCCCCATTTGCCGCTTAAACATCTGGTTCATCAACCTCTAATAGGTAACATCAGCGTTCTTCAACCCAAACAACATAACCTTATAGCAATAAACCCCTCTTGGAGTGATAAACGCGGTCTTTTCTTGATCAGACAGATGGAGAGGGATTTGGTGGTAACTGGTTCGGGGGTCCATGAAGATTATACGTTCATGTCTTGCCGTGGCATCAATTAGCTGATCGACCTTGGAGAGAGGGTAATCATCCTCTGGACATGCCTTGTTCAAATCCGTGATGTCAACACAAACATCACTTTTTTGCAAAGATAGTGTTTAATAACCATTCGAAAAATTACACCACTCGGATGGCATCGGCTTCCAGAAGCTGTTCTACTTTTTCATTTACCGCTTGGGTTCACTGAATACCGAGGCCTTTTTTTGACAGGCTTATGATTAGAGTCGACATGAAGCCTGTGGGTTATGATATCAGGATTTATGCCTTTCATTTCTGCAGTGTCCCATGCAAACACATGTACATTTTTAGCAAGAAGTTTCGCCATCTCCTTCTGCTCCGCCATGGACATTATCGAGCCAATTAAGAAGTATATCTCCTCTTCTCCTTCTTTTAGGAGTACCTTTTGGAGGTCCACCACTGAGCGGTCAAATAGGTCAACTCGCAGCTCGTCCATGCCCAACTACTCGACTATAGTTGTTATTTGTTCAATACTTCCTCTGGGGCATATTCTTTTCCTTGGACATGACCCCGAGTTTCACGGCGGCATAAAAATAACTCTTTGATGAGGCTTGGTCTCCACAGATTTCCATTAGCCCCTCCGAAATAGGGAACTTCAACTTCTGATGATAGGTGGAGTACACAACTCCGAGTGAGTGCAATCCACCCAATGGTTATGTTGTATGGTGATTTGGAATCGATCACCACAAACTCAGTATTGATCGTGACAAGTCTGGCAATGACCGACAAAGTAATCTTTCCTAGGGGCTGGGTGTACGATCCATTGAATCCGACGAGGGGTGTCAAGTCTTTAGACATAAGGCACATCCGCTTGAGTACATTGAGGTACATTACCTCAGAGGAACTCCCTGAGTTGACCAAGACCCTTTTGATGTCGAAGTTTGAAATGCGCAAAGTTATGATCAAGACGTCCTCGCAGGGAAGGACCACGCCAACTACGTCGGCATTTGAGAAGGTAATGCCACTTTGATCCACACGTAGCTTCTTACTTGTTTGGCCTCCATCCTTTTCCTCCTCCACCCTTCTGGCAAAGGTAATTCTCTTTAGGTCGGACCTGAGAGTGTTGGTTGTCGGCCGTTTCAAAGGGCAAACATTAAGGACGTCGATTATATTGTTATAGAAAGTGGTATGGTCAACGGTGACGATTGTTTTCCTTGGCGTTTCCTTCTCAATGTACTTCTAGAGGTGTCCTTCTTAGACCAACTTTTCTAGGAACAACTTGTATACTCGGCAATCCTCGGTGAGGTGCCCCCGTCCTTGTGGTAAGAGCACTTGATATTTTGGTTCCTGGAGGAGGATCACCCTTCATCTTGGGCAGCTACTTGAAAAATGGTTCTTTCTTGATCTTGTGTAACAGTTTATAGATAGGTTCCTTGAACACGGTGTAGGACCCCCTAAAAGAATTCCCCGTTGCCGAAGTCAAACCTTTCTTAGAAGGGATCTTGTCTTTGTCTTTTTTCTTTGCAGCCAAATTCTTTTCCCGACTCCTTGTCATCTCGTCCTCCACCTTTGAGTACTTGTTGATACGGGCCATCAACTCACCCATGTTCATTGGTGTCTGCTTTATCAGGGATTTGTAAAGAAGGGGCCACCATAACTTCGGAGCACCTCTCTACCTCGTTAACCTCCTCCTAGTAGCGAGTAGTATATTGGCGAAGCATCTCGCCTTCTCTCCACCAGAGGGTTAACAGGGATTCCACATCTTTGGGGCGTTTGCTCCTAGTGATGAACTATGCGGAGAACTAGGACCCTATGCTATTCGGTGGAAAGGTTTCGAACCATTTCATGGTTGTGTCACCCAGGCTCAACAAGAACACTTGACACAACAACCTATGGTCTGAGTGAAACAACGACATCAACAGCTTATAATGTCAAAGGTAAGCCTCAAGATCAAAATGTTCATCGTTAACCTTGAACCGTGGTACAATGAACTTTTTTGGCACTTCCACCTCTCTAATGTTCTTAGTGAATGGTGATTGGATGACTTCGTCGCCAGTATCGACATCGCAGTTACGTGTGGACCTCTCTATCCTTTTTGAGTCCAGTTTGGACATCGGGTCCTCCTCGTCTCTATGGTATTTTCTCTCACCAGGATCATGGCGAGCTGCATGTCTCCTGGCCCTTCCATCCTTCATAGAGAAGGTCGATCCCTTATCAGACTCCTCTTCGCCCCCTCGCCCAGCCAGTCTCTGGCAGAAGTCATTCTGAGCCAAGGGCCTAATCCTTTTAACTGGGACCTCCGAGTTCTATACATTGGCCCTTTGGTGTTTCAGAGCCTTGGAGCCTCCTGCTTCGTTGCTAAGACGGTTTCTCAAGTCGTAGGCTCCCACCTCTTTGATGGAGGACTCTCTGGAGGGTCGTATACTCTGGGAAACACCACCAGAAAGACCAAACTCGTCGAGTCTATTGAGAATGTTCATGTTGTTCTCCTCGATTTGCTTTAACTGGCTCCCCAGTCGCTCCTTGATAAGGTCAACGAGTTGGCAGGCCAAGGGTCCTCCATTCTCACCCCCTAGACTTAGTTCAGTTTGGTGGGTTCTTTCTCTGGAGTGGTATGGATGCTCCTTGTTGACATTTTTGACTTGATCCTCCGTTCTCAACATGGATAGAGTTGGTATGTTAATATTTTCTTGCTGAGGACCTTTTCCCCTCAAACGCATGCTCACCATGGTCATTGTCACTAGAAAACTTGGTCGTTTCACACAGATGGTGTCAAATTGTGCAGGATGATTTTAGCACAATAAATGAGATGGCATATCTTTCCCCCGATGAGCTTGAGTTCGCCAAGAAAGTTATTTCAATGAAATGCCTTCAAGAAGAAAAGTGATGAGTAATGGATGAAAACTCTCTGCAAACAAGGTAAGTTCTCGAAAGGTGTCTTGTTACTCAAGAAAGAAGGGTCAGAAGGGTGCCAGAGTATTTTTCAGGCTTGAACCATTCGACGCCCAAGTCAGTATTAGAGAAAGGGTATGAAAATACTGTTCTATTGCTTAGGCAAGGGGTTGCGAACCTAAGCTTTGAGCTTGAGGGTGCTATTTATACCTTCCAAGAATGAATCAAGGCGGACAACTGGATCCCATTGGACGAAAAACACCTAATTGGCTCGTACAGAAGACAACATCTGGTGCGCAGACCTTAATCAGAGTTTCAGCTTTTCCTAGTATTAGAACCTTCTGTAGTCCTACACTCGTTTCCCCGAGTATTTAATGTATATTTCTTGGCTCCGCTGAGCAATGAATACACCCCACGCCCATGCATAATCATTTAATGTGCCTTGGGCATGTTTGTGCACGCGTAGGGGTATTTTCATCAATCCCCCCTCAAGGGGTCAAGAATTAATTGTTTCGTACGTTATACGCCTTTATCATTGGTCATTCAATTGCCTTTCTGAACATTCTGATTGCCTTAGAGAAGGGAACCAATAACTGATAGTCTATTTCTCTATCAAATCATGATCCTCAGAAGCTACTTTTCCTCGATCATGAGTATACTTATCTCAGTTGGTCCTTTCCTATTTTTCTCGAGATCTCAACTCATCTATTGGCTAGGACTAAGCATCGGGGTAACTGTTCACCAAGTGCCGATGTGCTACATGTATGGCGAGGTGACGTGGACAACAAATAGAGGGAAGGCAAAGCACACCGAGGTACCTCCTTTCGTTGAGGTCACAACAACCCCTCCAGGACAATACGCCGAGATGGACCAATGGTGCCAAGGACACATGTTGCTTGCCCATTTGATTGCGGACACGTCTCATCAATTATTATGGCCAAAGCCATAAAAATATCGACTATAAAGTCCTCCCATATGTATCCCAGAATTACGCTTTACTTTGATCATCTCTTAAGGAGCTTGTTAGAGTAAAAAGGACCGATAGAAAAATTATCTGAATCATTCTCCCTAAGTGCGTTTAATGTGTGTCTAAGGATTTTAAAGAAGTTCCTTATACACATCCAGCATGAATACAACAGTTTTTTTTTAAATTACTCATATGTTTACATTCTTTTGTTCCACTAAAACTTAGAGGTTCCTCCCCTGTCCAGATAACGAATTTTGAAGTGTACTTTAGACACATGCATTTCATTATGCAGCCAAAGATTGCTTTCGTAAAACCCAATTGAACCCTTTGTTAATAAAAAGGAAACGTCTTGCAACGAGACATAATAAGTGGGAAGGGAAAGAAAATCACACCTTAAGTTCCTTCTTCATCGACCTAGTAATTGCGTTCAGTGCGAAACCTGACGACCCAGAAGTTAGGTAAGGTCTTCTATAAACCATTGCGTCATCTTCTTTCATTTCGTAAGGACCACAGCTTGTCAAAGCTTTATCGCTGGCCCTTAAAGGATCCTGGTTGGCAGAAAAGCAAGTCCATTATTTGCATTAAACAATTCTGATCCGAAAAATCCATAGATATATTACGTAAAAGAGCAGAATGATATACTAAATTTTTTACTTCCTACCTGAGAAAAAATTTCACCCAACAAAAAGTTGCTGAATATGGAGAGTGTTATTGGCAGGTTGGCATGTTTGCCCGTTAGCTTTTATAGGGAAAAGAACTCTGTTAGTTTCCATCATTTGTAAAGGCCACACAGCAATAAGCATGATACAATCACACATACAGAAACACTTAGATAAAAATAGATATAAACACGTCTACAAATATATTGGCATGCATTTTTTATTTAATTAGTCACACTACAAGAACTTCCCCTCGAGTCTCACATCTTCACTGATCTTATAGATGATTTTGAAATGAGACAGATCTCTCCCGGGAATGTAGAGTAATTTACACTCGGCCAGTTTCCATGTGGTAAAAGCTTTGAAGGATTCATTCCGAGATATCCAAATTATAGCTTTTTTCCTGATTTTCCTCGAGGCATGGCAGCATGATAAAACTTGAATGATAAAAAATATGCCTGCGAGCCTATGCCTCATGTGCCAGCAGCCTTTTAAGCTTTCCGTTGTTTCTTACAATGACTGACAATGTGTCGTTAATAGTGTAATGGGTTTACTTCTAAATGACCTCATTGCATTCAACCAGATTTCCTCCTGGAACCATGTTATGCATGTTTGTGCATTTCTTTATACGATCTTTTCTGGTTCAACAATTCTAGTATACAAAATATTTCATGTTTTTCTATAAGATTCTTTTTTTATTATTTTCTTCTTTCATACTGTTTTCTAAAGTAAATCTACAATTATTCAAAAAAATGACGAATCAAAGGCTTGTGCTTTTACATCATAGCTTATGTCAGGCCTAGAGTATTTACCTTCAAAAGGGGAGTCCTTTTCAGCATACAATTTGTCCTTACCAGCATACAACTTGTTAGGCATAAAGTAAAGCCAATTACATGAGTAGTCAAAATGACGGTCAAGCAACACCAACCTCGGTGTTTTTAGTTAACAAAAAAAAAAAGTTTTTTTTAAAAAAAAAAAACAAAGGAGAGATCTTATTTCAGAAGTCCTGAGAAAGGTCCGAATTCCAGTCGGAAAGATCCAATAGTTATGTTCGTAATCTACCCACGCAACCCACCTATCAATATCCCAAACTTATGATCTGGGGGGACCAGAAACACTCAAAAGTCAAAACTATAGAATGACTAATTCAATAACAAAATGGAAAAGTTCAGAGGGGTTCATACAGGTGGGTTGAGAAGTATCAAATCATTTATCTTTTCTTGATGACTGTTAGCATACTTGACAACAACTGGTGAAAAATAGCCCTGCAAAAAATACAAAGGCTGAAATTTCCACACAACATGTCTTATTATGGGTAGCTAGGCCGGTATATGCAACTGAATTCAGGAAAAAAGATATATACCTGAGCAACAATAGAAACTTTGTTGATGCCAAGTTCATCAATGAGAGATTCCAAAGATGACACATATTCTGCACGCCATAATAAAAAGTAACACACAAAAATGTTATCTGAATAAGAGTCTTCATCCTGCCATCACTTATTTGGGTTGTTGAAAAGGCAATTACCATCCAGAGTGTAATCGAAACCATATCTGGGCTGGGGCTTATCCGAAAATCCAAAGCCTGCAGAAGGGGAAGAAAGGCAAGACTTTTTTTAATGCATTGTTAGTTTACAATGTACTCAATCTGAAGTAGCTTTGTCATTGTGAGACAGGTACCTTTGAGCAGAACAAGTAACTAAATTGGAAAATTTTAACCAGAGTAGAAAATCATCTATTCTTCAAATAAAAATGGTACTCATAACCGTGAACATGAAGAGAAAACTAGGTGCCTGTCCAAGTATGTGCGTGTGCACGTGTGTGAGAGAGAGAACAAGAAGGGAGAGGGAGAGGGAGAGGGAGGGGAGCCCATTTCCACAACTAGTCAAGATACTTTGAAGAGATTGCCGAATCAAATAATATCGCCAAAATTAATGTAGGCTCAATCACCTTTGTAAAAACTGTGTGCCCCTTTACTAATTAAAGAGATGATAATAAGTGCAGAATGCTCCATAAGTGGGGATTTTTAATTAGTGTGATCTCACCTATCCAATCAAAAGCAATGGCATGATAGTCCTTTGAAATTATGGGAAGAACCTTGCGATAAGAATATGCCTGTCACATTATCAAATAGAATAATGGATTTTAGAACTTTATTTAGGTACCTAGATCAAACAATAATCCATCTCAGAAGTTTCTTCCTATAGGTTAATATTTACGTGGACAGTAACAACACCTTTGGAAATAAGAATTCCATGGGCTGGATAAAGATAGTCAAAATGAAGAATTACTAATCCACGAGTCATAAAAATATGACTGCATGGTCAGAAGCATAAACATAAGATAGCTCCTAACTAATTTCATATGGAATCAGAGCAGGCTTCTCAAATATAACTCCCATTTCGGGGGAAGTTGGGATAGAAGCTTTGTTGAGTTGAGTTGCTATACCATTAACTTCTTCACTTAATACTAGCATTACGGTATGTGCTACACAGTATATAACTGCATCATCCAATTGTTATCAAAAATGTAGCTTTTCTAATTTCAAAGCATATCACTCAACAAATAGAGCCTCACCTGAGAAGGGTAGCCATGAATTAATAAAATCGGAGGATTATCAGCACTGCCACTTTCAACGCAAAACCATCTAGTTCACAAAATCATATATATAGAGCATGTTTCAATCGGTAAACCCTGCAAATATTCCATCCTCAATTACTAAAATATATGGAAACCCATGCACACTAGAGAGTCCGAGCATGTCCACATAGCCTATGAAAAGATACTTTAAATAACCTGAACAAATCATCAGAGGCCTGGGAACTGCCACCCATCGTGAGTCCAAAAAAGGGATCCTTTGCCTTCTCGCCAGATCCAAAAACAGGATGAGCTTTCACCTGAAAATGAAACAAGACCAGGAACTCAGTAACGAACATTGAATGAGTGAGTGTGGTCCATAATACATATCACTGTACATCAAGGCATATAAGATGCCCCCCTATTAAAGCATGCTTCTCATAGGTTATCTAAGAAAGTCACTATGCATTTTGAGAAAAACATGCAAATATGTTCTTTGGACAGTACAACATACTTACATACTTCACAAAAGTCTGGTATACCTGTCTCATAAAAAGGGAAACAAGTTTAGACAGAGTAAAACTTGCTCATACAACAAAATAATTCTCCATTTTTACTTTTCTTTGAATGGTCCAAAATTATTTTCTTTTTTAACAGGGGTAGAAGATACATCCTTCTGCCACATACTTCAGACCAACATAGTTGGATGAGACATGGGTACATAATGATTCCATATTGCCCCAGTGATCAGCATAGTGCTGGAAGTAAATCAATCTTGTTGCATCTATAGAATCACTTTCTCAGTATTCCAATAACAACCATGATCAATTCTCCATAGTTACTTTTGGTACGCGCTTTAATACAACAAATAAAATTAGGGTATATGTTTTAGAATGCAAAAAAAGAAAAGAAAAGAGTTTTGAACATAAGGAGCACACAGGGCTTACAATCTTCCCTTTCTTGAACCATTCATCCGCCGGACTCGGCTCATCTGAGTACTTTCCTGTCCAAAACAGAGACATCATTATCGTACAAAACCCACAAAGAAACATGCTTTCTTTTTCTTGGAAAAAAACAAGACAGAATTTGCAAGCAAATCGAACCTCCACTGAAAGAAAAGCCATCCCCAATGGAAACTGGAGCGTCCAAATAATAATCCTAAATTTCGACAAATCGCATTGACAATATTAAAAAGACTCACGCCAAGTACAATACCTATGGTATCCATTGAAATATACAAAAAAAGATGAGAAAAAGTGTACAGAGTCGCCATCACTGCTCGATCTGCAATTGAATCCGAGAAGATTCCTACGGGCCGTTGATTTGACTGATGCACAACGAACCCATGATGGAGAAGCGATGGGAGAATGAAGAAGGAAACGAGAACCGTGGGAGTGAAGTGAAGAAGAAGAAGAGATATGAATGGCCATGGCTTATTGGGTAATAACAGAGATGACTTGGGAGGGAAGGTAGTTCCAAAGGGAGTGGCCGTTGGACAATTGTTTCCTAAATTGGGATTATATAGAAAGTTGGATAGCTTTTGTTTGGTGCTCATCCTTTGATAATTCCGTACACCCCTTTTTTTAACTTCCTCCCCCTCGGGTTTGATAAATTATAATCGGGCCCCTTAGATTTTATGAAGGAAAAAAAAACCACCGCAGGGTGTTGACATTTTTTAATACCACAACGACCCCCAATCAAATATTTTAGTTTTAATTTCTTTTAATATGCAATTACTTATTATTATTACAAGTCTCACATATTACTATTACAAATAAAACTTGAATAAATTACAAATTCAAAAGAATTAGAATATAACATATTTCTCAACAAATTACACCACAACTTTCAAAGAGTGAGACACGTAAGATATCAATCCCTACCTTTTGACCTCCTTCCCTTTTTCGGTTTTTATTTTTGCTCAACAATTAGGAGTGTTTGAACCAGTTTACGTACACCTCGATCAATCTCCTTTTTGATCTGGTTAAAGGTTGATCATTCACACCAGTCACAAGGACTAACGTATTTATGAGAGATAAACAAATTTCTCACGAGTTGACCTCAAAGAGTTGTAAAAATTTGAATTCAAGAGATTTAAATTTACAATTCGTCTCTGTTACTAGTTGAATTATCCCTTGAAATTTTAGTTAGAAGTATCAACTTGCTAATTACTCGAGTCAAAAACCATATTCTTGATCAAAATCATATCTTTTATAAAAATCAATTAATATTTTGTAAAAATTACAAATAAAATAAAATCCAAGAGAAAGGATGGGGCAGTATTAGCAATTCAAATATTATTTTCGTCGATGTAATTTTTACCAATGACTGTCCATTATTTGTTTTTAAAAGTTAAGGGTTGATCATATTATTCACTAACTATCACAGGGTCAGCTTCTTTTTATTTTTTTCAACCAAACTTACTGTGAAAATTATTTTATTTTTAGTTCATATTAATGTCAGTGACGACACAATAACTCTAACTTATGAAACTAGGGATTCTGATTAACCTTATCTCTTGTAGAGATATGAGCCATGAGTTTTTTTTCCAGATTTATTTGAATAAAAAATAATGACCCTATGGAAGGCCTCATGAAATCAACAGACATAATGAAGATTCTGATCTTCAAATTTCAATATGATCTCATTTCTTAAAAAATATTCAATGTAGCAGTGATACCGCATCATTACAACTATGAGATGCAAATCAGGAGTAATAAATGCTTGCATTGCCTGCTGCAAAGATGAAAGACAAAGCTTGCATTAATGGAGTCTAAAAATTCATTCCTCTACTGCTTAGTCTGTTGTCCTCGCTTGCTTTTTTTTTTTTTTTGCCCAAAGCTAGATTTCCAACTTTAATTCCTCTATTACTTTATCTAAGTTTGATGATACAAATTTTTTTGCCTAAAAGACTCTGCATAAATCCCTTAAAATTGCAAGAGATTACTTGGCAAAAATTCATGTATAATGTTTTCCTTTGGCTGGCTCTGGATGCTACTATCAATTTTTCGGAACTAAAGGCAACTGCATATTGTTCCCAGCTAGTAATTTACCATGCTCATCGACAATTACAGAACAATAGGGACAAAGCTCAATCAAGTTGAGTTGAGAGTAACCATGCTCATTGTAGTTTCTCAGATGGAGAATTATGATACTCAAAGAAGCATTCTTTGAAGTAGATAGCTGTTGCTTCCTTTGGTTTTTCTCTTTTACACAGGAGCTTCAAGAATCAATCTCCAAAACCCATCATGCTTCAGAAACATTGCGGCCTAACCAGCTAATGTTATTGGAGAATAAACATAATTGTTTGGCTATGAAAAATCAACTACTAGAAACTGTCACAAACAATTGAATGTAACTGACCAATGCAATTTCAGATAAACATAAAGATTTCATACATCACAATCATTGATGACAATTGAAGCAATCAGTATTCAATATACAGCTTTGGCTTCCCAATATGGTAACACATAAACATAGAGTGAGACAGAGAACAAAATTCATCTACTTCACATAGTAAGGAAGGTCAAGGACATAGAGAAGGAAATAAGCCCAAATGACACCAGAAATGCCACCAAAGAAGAATCCTCCAGTGAACTTGGCCCATCCCTCAGCAGTTTGCAACTGATCAGGCTCCTTCTTCCTGCCAGTCAAGGTCAGTGCAGGGGCAGTTGATGGCTCACCTTCATTGAATGATGCAATGCCATACATTGTTAAGGCAATGCTTAGAATCACTACTAGGCCACCTGCTCCCAGGGACCCTGCTGCACCTGCATAGGGTGTGTCTCTAAGAGGTCCTGTTTTGACAAATGGGCCAACCAAGAGGTATCCATGGGCGAGGCCAACCTCGATGCCCCGGAGAAGTGGGCTGACTGCTGTCCGGTAAGCTGGTAAGTTGGAGAGGTACCAAGCGATTAACGGGCTTGATGTTACCGGCGTCTCTAGGCTTCCAATGAATGGATCACCATTGATGGGCTGAATAACTTGGTAAGTTGGCTGCCAAATGGAGAAAGGAGCCACAAATTTCAGAAATTATGAACCCAAAGCATCAAAATGGAAAGTATCATTGGATATACAGTGATATAATGATGATGCAGTCCACGAAAATCCTGTCACTACCCGAGGTGTGGCAGTGGTTGATCTATGGACTCATGCCCCATGTGGGCAGGGATTTTTTTTCGTAACTCTAAACCATGATCTCTAAATCAAAATATAACAAGCTTTTAAACAGCATACAGCAAAGCTAATCAATTCTTGTAACAACCAAATTGAAAATGAAACGGACCATAATTATATTGTAAGATTTGCTATGCTAGAGGGCGGTCCTTGGCACGACGGTAAAATTGCTCTATTGTAATTTGGAGGTCCCTGTTCGAGGTGCAGAACAACCTCTTTATTGTAGGGTAAGGTTACATAGATCTAATCCTCTTTAAACCCACAATGGCTGGAGTATCTGACACTAGATACACCCATTTCCTCGCTCTGCTAGATATTCCTAAGGGTTGTCTGATACAATCTATTTGAAAATTTTTAAGTAAGCTAAAGTCGGGCTGTGAATGGATTACATGAAACCATAACAATTCCCCTACAAGGATCCTAACCCTGGTCACAAAAAAGTTAGAAAATGCAATGATTTTGTAGGATTCCAAAAGCAGAAGAAAAACTCTGTGTTCTCACCTTCTCTGTCTGGACAGCTCTGACAGTGAAGCTTGACTTCCTGGTACTGGGTGATACTCTAAATGGAGCTCCGGAGATACCCTTTGGAGCAACAAGTCCTCTTGTCAAAGATGAAGCGAAACTACTCTTGAGCTGACTAGCCATTGTAGAAGCTGTAGTGGCCATTGGACCTTTGGTCAGAGACTCTGTTGCAACAAGAATATAACAGACGTGTAAACCAGAAGAGAGATGGGGTATTTTCTGTCCAGGCAAAGAATATCTTTTGCTCACAAATCTGTGGTTCTCAGGGGTGATGGCTCATACATGCACACTTTTCATTGGAGGAATGGTGTTTGAAACCTTATCCCTTATCCACATTGGCAAAGATAGACATGGTTTGTGAGGCTATTCTGGTGCACATGTAAGTGTGGCCAATGTTGCGTGGATTGTTAGTAATTTTGGTATGAAATACAGGAATGAGTACATAATACAACATTTTTTTAGATACGACATACAATAAGAATAAGTTTAGTTGATATTCTATTTTGGGTCAAAATTCAGTTTGAAACTCTTACCAATCATTTTTATTACTATACAACATTAAATATTATAGAACATTCATAAATATTAAGTCAGTTATCATTTATATGTTACTTATGTTCAATTTTTTATTATCTAAAATAATATATAATTATAAATTTATATGCACATAATTATTAATATATATTTTATATTTATGTGACACGTAAATTTTTTATTTGTACTCAAACCCACCTATTTGGATCCAACGTACCCAAATAGTGGTTCATTAGGAGCTTGGTAAATTCTGATAACTATGGGTTTAACACAATATTCAGTTTTAATCCGGCCCATTTATTCTCCCCAGTGTATGCAATACAGAAAATAATATATATATGCATTTAAATGGTTTATGAATGAAAGAATTAGAATGGGAATCGAGTCCATTTTGTGTCATGAAATTGTTTTTTTTTTTAGTCCAACATTAATCAACACAACTCGATTTGTTTAATTAATTTAATTAGAGTTTTAGTACTAATCCAGTTTACGAATAATATTATGTAGAAACTACAAACCTAAGACTAAGACCATTTTCACTCTAAATCAAACACACCACCAATAGATACTATATCAACAAACTAGTTATTGTCTGTGCTTGAAGATACATAGTAATAAAAAATGATAAATAATAAATATATTTGTAGTCATATTCAAAATCAAATCATAAACATAGATAAGAGATAAAAGAATTTAAGTATCGTTTTATAGTGAGGGTGAGAGGTGGTGGGCGGTAATGGTGGTGGTAAGAGACGGTGATAATTGTGGTGGGTGGTAATGCACGTGGTGGCGGCCTTGGTGGTAGCCGTGGTGACGACGGCAGCGACGGTGGTGCTTGTGACAATGGCAGTGGTGGTGGTCAAGGCAACGACAGTGGTAGTGGTGGTGGTCAAGGCGGCAGTGGCAGTGACAGTGGTGGTGGTGACGGCGGCAATGATGGTGGCGACGGTGGCAGCGGTGGTGGTGACGACGATGGTTGTGGCAACGATGGTGGCGGAGGTCGAGGCGGCGACGGTGGTGGCGGTGATAGCGGTGGCGGTGGTGATGGGGGCGACAACGGCGATGATGATGGTGGCAACGACAGTGGTGGTGATAGTGGCGGCGACGGCGGTGGTGGCGTTGGTGGTAGTAAAGGTAGTGATGAGGCGGTTTCAAACACTATTTTTTTTAAGTATTTATGAGAAATAATTACTAAAAATACTTTTATAAAGTCATTCAAAACACACTTTTAGGACTTATTTTTCCTATTAAATTTAGAGTGTTAATATTAGCCGTTAGATTAATTTTAAAGTAAAATTTAAAACGATCTTAACCGCGAATAACAAAAGTCATTTTGTTTATCTTTTAAAATTTAAATTATAAGCTATTTTATTATATAGATATAAAAAATAAAAAACCATATATATTTTTGTATGAAACAAGCTAACCATATTTGTTGTGTCAAAATTTAATTATTTATGTTTGATATTAACTTGACTCATTTATTTTTATTGTTATTGAATCGTGTTATTTTAAATATATATCAAAAATTAATTAAATCCTAACCAATTAACTATCAAAATTTCTTTTTTTTTTTTTTTTTTTAAAAAAATCAGCATGCATGTTTGACAAGCAAATATCATAATAATTTTTTGTTAAATATATATACCACGTGACAATGTCAACAACAAATATTTTTTCACAATAGATATTTGATATGGAGTTTACTGACTTAATTATTTATAATCATTAAATTGACAATAAATTAAATTATTTGTTTAAACCCGCTAGTAATTCAATGGAATAGATTAGCAGATTATGTTAATCACAACCATAGATAAGAAATAAAAGAATTTAAACATCAATTTGTAGTGGGGGTAAGAGGTGATAGGCGACAATGGTGGTGGTGGTGATGAGGGTGGTGGTGGTGGCGATGACATTGGCGATGGCAGTGATGGGGGGTGATGATGGGTGTGGTGGTGGGGGGTTGATGGCGGCGGTGGTGGTGGTGGTGATGGTGATGGTGGGGGTACTAGCGATGATGGTGATGATGGTGGTGGGGGTTGGTGGCGGAGGTGGAGGTGACAGTGGCAGTAATGACGACAGCAACGACGACAACAGTGGTGGTGGCGGGGGCGGGGGCATCAATGGTGGTGGTGACAGCAACGACGATGGTAGTGGCGACGGTGATGGTGGTAACGACGGTAATAGCGATGGGGATGATAGTGGTAGAAATAATGGTAGGGCGGTTTCAAACACTATTATTTTTTCTAAAGTAGTAATGAGAAATAATTTATAGAAATACTATTAAAAAATTACTCCAAACACACTCTTAGAGACTTATTTTTTCGATTAAATTTAAAGTGTTAATATTAGCTGTTAGATTAACTTTAAAATAAAATTTAAAGCGATCTCAATCGCGAATAGCAAAAGTCATTTTATTTTTTTTTAAAATTTGAATTATAAATTATTTTATTATATAGATATAAAAAATAAAAAACCATATATATTTTTGTACGAAACAAGCTAACCATATTTGTTGTGTCAAAATTTAATTATTTATGTTTGATATTAACTTGACTCATTTATTTTTCTTGTCATTGAATCGTGTTATTTTAAATTTATATCAAAAATTAATTAATCCTAACCAATTAACTATCAAAATTTCTTTTTTTTTTTAAAAAAAAAATAAGCATGCATGTTTGACAAGCAAATATCATAATAATTTTTTGTTAAATATATATACCACGTGACAATGTCAACAACAAATATTTTTTCACAATAGATATTTGATATGGAGTTTACTAACTTAATTATTTATAATTATTAAATTGACAACAAATTATATTATCTGCTTAAACCCGCTACTAATTCAATGGAATAGATTAGCTGATTATGTTAATGAATTAGGTTATAATAATATTATTATTTTGTGTGATTGGACCATGTGCACAAAATAAATTTTTAATCTTAAAGGGTAACTTAAATAATAATAAAGACGATTTATAAAGTCAACCATTCTGACAATCTCACGAAATTATAAAAGATTTTTCTCTCAGCAATTCTATAATACTTACATGATTTATTTTTAATCAAACCGAAATTAATTGAATTGCGTTTGATCCATAAAATAAATTTTCTATTGGGTTGAGCAGAAACCCTAACAGCAGCTCACGGTCGGTGACTACACGATGGGCCTTGGGTATTTTTCGGCTCTGGTAGCTTGCTTGGATTTAATGAGGATGCCATCTATGGTGCCAGGGGTTTAAGACCCGCCACTCTTTTTCCCTATACAGAATCGAGTTTGGAGTTCGCATAGGTCGGAGAGAAGAGAAGATTGAACGGAGGGAGCGATGGCGCTGCAGATTCTGAGGCTTCCATTATCACGTTGTTGCAGTGGTGGTAGTTCCTGTAAAAGCTTGTTTTTCTTGTCCAAATCATCATTCTCTCCATACCTCTCAGGTACTTTCTTCTACCCTCTTCTCCAGTTGTGAGGTTCTCCGCATACCCATCTCATTCTGCAATTATCTGTTGGTTCTTGTGAAATAATGGGAGAAAGGAATAGAAAATTATCACGAAAGGAAGGCACTTTGTTTTTTTTTTTTCTCCACCACTCTTTTCAAAAACCGTAGGAGTCTTAGATGTTTGTAGCTGGAATTGACATATGTTGTTTTTATGTTACAGTTCTTGATTTATTTGTGTTCATAAATTTCTTGATTTTTCTTGCCAATCTCATCAGATGGGCTTGAATTTATTTCTTGTGTGTGGGATTCTAATCCTACTTTTGTTGATTATTGGTTAAATAGATTGTTGTTGAGATTCACCAACATGTTGAACTCGCTTACTTTTAGACACTGTGCTCTCCATATTTTTTAAAATTCTACTACTACTATCACCTGTAGGGAGCATTGTCCTTGGGTATTCGTGAAATGGTGTCGAATATTGGCCTTGGGATTCCATGAGACTTCCGAGCCTTTTGTTTTTAAATCCCTCTCCCGTGTCTGTGATGTTGTATGAAAATTGTAACTAGTTTCATTATGTCCAACAAAATACTTAGTACGGGAGAACATTTTGGGAATAATTCAATTCCGTACTCTATCCATTATGGTAAACTAAATCTTGCATGACTATTTGTGTTCTGCCGATGGCACCCACATATTATGCCCTTCTGACTTTGTTCTGCTGTGTTTTGAATCTTCCAACTTCTGATTAGTGCTACTATTGTTTAGTGAGATGGGTCAAGACTCTTGTGCATTGTCCAGGTAGAAGCTTTACTGCTGTGCAATCAGCGAAGTTTCAACAGCCGAAGAAGTAATTTCTCTCTCTCTCTCTCTCTCTCTCTCGTGCATGCGTGTGGATGCTTATGTAATGTTCACGTCTTGGGCAACTGATGTCTTAATGATTTCAAGGGGCACATATGTGAACATATCTACATTAACATTCATATGGGCAATTCGCAAACCCTGATATCTTTTTCATCTTCTATCTTACCATCTGTCATTTCAATTTGACATTTTCAGGAAAAGGAGACTGGATGAAATATGTCTTGAGAGGTTTCAGCAATACAGCCGAACCTTTATACAGTCATGGATCCTTCAAGGTACATGGTTTTCTTCAAGTGTCCATTTGATGTGATATTTTGAGTTGGGATCACGATTTTCCATTCTTCCAACTCAAAGATTAAATGCCTTGATTCCATTATATATTGACCACTTACTTGAAATACTTGTATTGTAATAGAGATCCTATCAATCTAATAGCTAATCACCTAATGATTCTTTGTACGAAAACTTACTATCCTGTTCTAAGACATTTGTTTCTAGAAAATCGTTCATGATACTACGCAGTAATAGAATGTGTTACAACATTTTCCTGTCCCTTGGCTATTCAGATCAGAAGTAGATGCATATACTCACATTTCTATGTTGAGTGGTTGCCTCCTCCACATATGCCCCAGCCCTTTAGTTCTTATCAAGGCAAGCACCTTCCACTTGGCCCCTGAACCACACATTTCACTCATCCCTGCTTCATGCTTGCAACAGTAGACGCATGAGGGCTAGTTGGTCACAAGTTCATGGATTCCCTTATTGTCTTGTTGGAAACCATATATTTCCGAAATAAAGGGGAAGGAAACTGTCTTAGCCACTGCTAATCAGCAATCACAATTAAAAAATACTCATGAAATAAGAAGGACTTATATCCCAACCAGTCGGTGTTGGATTTCAGCTGTTTTTTGTTTTGTGCTGTGTAGATCATATCGTATGGTAAAGCTATTCCCCCCCCCCCCCCCCCCCTCCTTCTTCTTGAGAAACTCTTTCTCTTGTTCTTAGCTTTTGTTACATTGAGCTTCTTACAAATGTATTCAACTTTTATGAGTTTATCTTATTTTTTCTCAAATTGTCACCAACCCATTTAAAGTTCTTGAGTTCAACTGCACAATCTATGGTCATATTCTTTCTTTAAGACACATGACTGGTGCCTACTTGAGGGTGGTTGACCTTATACTTGTGATGATAGCCCAAATTCAATTGTGGATGACCTTTTTATTTTTACTTACAGTACATTTAAACATATCTAATGATGGAAGTTGACTTCACTCCTTTATCTCTCTCTCCCCCCTCCCCCCTCCCCCGGGTCTGTCTCTCCATCTGCCAACTCAAATACGTAGTTCAGGCAAAGTATTTGTTGATGGGAAGGTGGTAAATAAAGCTGGAACTCCTGTCTCTGATAAAGCTGTTGTGGAGATCATGGCTGAAGTCCCAAAATATGTATGTAGGTGATTGCTCTCCACAAAAACAACCTATTTCATACCTCTTGGGCATCATATTCATTCTGCTATAACTTTGGTGAAACTTTTACATTTTTTGACTGTTGATTGACCTGTGATTCAGAGGAGGATACAAATTAGAGGCAGCCATTGAACAACTAGGTGTCGATGTGACTGGAAAAGTAGCTCTTGATTCAGGGTTGTCTACTGGAGGATTTACTGATTGCTTACTTCAGTATGGTGTCTCATTTGTTTATGGAGTTGATGTAGGATATGGACAGGTAGTGGATATTCTAATCATGTGCTCATGAAGCCATTCAATTCCTTTCTTTGCTTCAATTATTACCCAGAATAAAATACATAAAACAATTCTTTAGACTCCTATTGAGATAGTGGAAGAGAAGCAGATTTGGCAGGTAGGCACAATAAAGAGTTTGAAATTTCTAATGTTCTATTTATTTTACATCGGATGGAGAGTGTAGAAATGGCCAAGGATCAAAATTTCGTTTCGGTGCATCGTTTCGGTCACCTAGAAAATGGAAACGTTTCGACATGTTTCGGAAACGTTTCGACCCGTTTCGAAAACAAAATGAAAAATAATAAAAATTTAAGAATTATTTTTTCAAAACATTAGTCGAAATATATGAAATTTTTTGAAATACCTTGAAATATTCTGAAATAATTGTGCAAATGCATTGAAATATAATAAAATATTTCAAAATATTATGGAACACCTTGAAATATTAGAATTTCGATTCCATCACTGACTCGTTTCGATCTCCTTGGAAACGGAAATGTTTTGGATGTTTCGACCGTTTCAAATCAATATTTTGATCCTTCAAATGGCCTGATAGCACAGTTGAGTTTTAATAGTTAGTTTTTTACTTGCAGAGGGTAAAGCTAAAACACTCCTCAATTTTCAGTGCAACAAGTCTTATGGTTAAGGGAAAAATAATTGTAATTGGAAAATGTGTCTTTGAAATAGATTTGAAACAGCGGTACGTAAAGGCTTCGTTGAGTTCAGAAACAGCTGTACACAAATAACTAGGATAAATTGGTTTTTGTTCCTATAAAAAAATTTAGGATAAATTGGAACAAATAGGTAGCACAATGAAAATACTGCCACGGAAAAAAAAATTCTTGAGTATTATTGATATTGGATATCCTGATTGTTCTTGCTTGCTAATGGGTGCTGATTTCTCTATTAGGTGGCAGACAAAATACGACGAGATGAACGTGTAAGTGTTGTGGAGCGGACAAACTTGAGATATCTTACTGTACTCCCACAAAAGGTTGATTTGGTGACGCTGGACCTTTCATTTATTTCCATACTTTTGGTAAGCTTTCATATATGGTGGTTAAATTCCTTAATTCTTGCGTCTCCTATTCTTTTCAAGTGGTCACTTTTGAAGCAATTGCGATTTTTGAAACAGACCCTTCTGTTTCATTTGAGAAATAGACCAGCATCTTGTTATTCCCCTGATTTATACGTTAAGTATTGTTCTTAGATCACCCAGTGTTTGCTTTGTTTCTATTTCCTTGTGTTCAGGTCATGCCTGCCGTGGTCAATTTGATGAAGGAAGAAGCTACATTAATTACCCTTATAAAACCTCAATTTGAGGCTCGCAGATCCCAGGTACGAAATTATGTAGTGCCCCTCTTTTTTGGTTTCTAATCGAAGGGTTTCATATTTCCTGAAGTTTATTATGCTAAACCAAAGTATATTTGAATAAAAGGTACTCATTAGGGAATAGATTTATTGTCCAACAGGACGTCATTAAAATTCAACGAAGAGGTTTTTTTTTATTAGAATTTCTGATATCAGAGATTCATTAATGCCTCATTAATGAGCCGATCAGCCATTATTTGGTTTTCGGAACTCCTCATAACTCTCCTTTGAGCACAGCCAGCATCTTCAGCTTCTCCATGGGTTGCCTTGTCCTTTCCCTCAGACCCGCTTTCTTACGCTCTCAGCTCCACATGGTATCTTATTTGTGGCACCTCTCACCTACTCAGCAACCCAACACCATCAATATAATAAATATTTACATTTTTATGTATTCCTAGAGCTTTATCCTGAACCCAGTCCCTTTGTGTTAAGTGATCAGCGAGTTTACATCTAACTACTGGTTTTTTTCCCGGAAAATCTTATATACCCCTTTTTTTATGCAATCTATAACTGAGCTTTGTTAAGTTTAGGCTGTGAAAAATCTGGTAGTTTAAGGCTATGCTCATCAGTAATCATATGGCCGTGAGTATCATGTGACTATTTTAGTTTTAATATACGTTTAAATTTTGAATCTATAATTTCACATTCATGGCAGGTAGGAGGAGGTGGAATTGTGAGGGACTCCTTAGTCCATCAAGAGGTAAGTGGTCACCCAACTTTCTACTGTTGATTTTCCTATTGTATGGTTGGCATTTTGGAAGCACTTAATCTTGCTTTGAAAGCAAATTTCAAAATTAAAGCAATTCTTGATCACAAAAAGCAAAATAAGCACATTTTTTTACCATGAGGCTGTGTATTTATTTCCTGTGCTGATTTTTTCCCTCTTCCTTCATTTAGCTTCACATTCCTTTGTCTCCACACCCTTCAGTGATCAACTCATGTTTTTCCTGTTTCTTCTGTCTGTATGAATCATCAATCAGAAAAAAAAAAAGATGATTGATATATTGGCCTCTGGAAAATTTAAATAAAGTAGGCCTGATATGCTGTTGATTAAATACTGTTGTTCAGGTGCTTGAGAAGATCACAAAAGGTGTAGAAAAATTCGGATTCCAACGTAATGGTTGGATTGAGTCTCCCCTGAAGGGAGCTGAAGGCAATACAGAATTTCTGGCTTGCTTTAGCCGCGTCGCGAAGATAACTGCAGATTTTTCACTTACAGAAACTGAGAAGCAGTAAATTGATTATGGATTTGAATTGTTGCTGAAAAGGAAGTATCAATGTTGATAGTTAATTTTTTTGTACATTGCATTGGGATTATATGGATTCTGTGTGGAAATTTGATTATTCATATTTGATATTAACTCGATTCATCTATTATTCTCGAGGCTGTGCCACTTCTTGTTTTGTTGGGTTTCGTGGTGCAGAAATCTAGATGAAGTTCAAAATGCTTGCCAATAAATCATTTAACAAATATGTACAATGAAAAGTCATCAATTACAACTGTCTTAAATTGCCCAGCATTTCAAAGGGTATTCTAAGACCAAACATCTGCCCAACCACTGAGAACCATGATACCAGATATTGCTCCACAGCCACTCCACCACTTGCCACTGAAGCATCATGAGCCAAAAGCAGCCTCATCCACTCACTAATCCCACAAGGATGTAGGGTATACCAAGGCCTGTTCAAGTATGGATGCTCCTACCATTCATAGCATTCATAATTTATCAGTTGACATCTCCAAATTACAACCATTGATGAAAACTAGGATTGCACTGTAATTGTAAACTCATCTTCATACTCCACAAGCAGAAAAATGTACACAAACAAGGCTTTCCAAAACACACAAGCACAAAGACTAGACGTAACAAAGGCTAAAAAGTTTTATCAGGAAACATCAAGACCAAAATTTTCTCGTATTTTTTTTAGTAAACAAGGTTTTAGAGGGAAAGTAATCAGCAGTACATAATCAACTATCATTATCAAGTGACCAATACAAGTGGAACAGAAGAAAAAGAATGCATAGGAGATGATAGCCAAGAGAGTAGAATATCCATGACAATAAATATTTGAGGTGATGTGATTAACATATGCCAGATGTAATTGTCTGAAAATTGTATGATTTCAATGCCACATAAGTCAAACTCTATGAGTAAGTGTAACTATGATCACTTTCCAGCTTCTGGTGCACACAAAACTAACAATACAGCAGAATAGAGAATGCCAATGGCTTGAAAGGTCTAGATTCCAGATGAAACATGGGCCAACAGAACATATCAGTAATTTCATTTGTTAGTCCAAATTAAACATATCAAACCAATTATTGCACTTTTTTTTTGACATAATTGTAAAAATCACATGGAATAATTAATCAAGACAATGAGCGGATAATAATCAAAGTATACCTCCTGAGTTATGAATGTCCATTTGGATTCCAGTAGTAACTTCCCAGAATTGGCAGGGAGGTCCTTTTCAATGTCATCTAACATCAACGGCTGTCCATCTGTAGAATCAACAATAATGACTACATTGTCTTAAACTTGAAATAAATTCAAGCCTAGCCCTGACATCAATCAATAAGTACATTTAAACAATGTAGGCATTTCACATGACCAAAATTAAGCAGCATTATTATGTAGAAACTTCGGACTACTAATCTGTATATGAAATTAACAAACTGCAGTGAACATACCACTGGAATATGCATAGAAATATAGCACTGGAACCCTATATGAAGGGCTGTATGTTACATGGAAGTTGTAGTGATGTACTTCATGACCACAGCTCTGGACCTTGCAAAGAGAACAACAAAAATATGAAGTAAATAAGTAGAGAATCAACCAGTACTGCACATCTTGCAGGGTATTATTATTGTCTGACAGTCGGATTTTGTAAGCTCGAAAAGCATCATCCCATAAAATACAACTTCCATGAATTTTAGTTCTGGCTAATAATCAGTAATCTATTACAGATTTGCAGGAGACAAGAAAGAGAACTAGTAATGTACAACTTGCAGCCACGAAATTATCTTCACATAAATCAAGGTACTTAAGAATCACACATTAGGGCTTCTATAAGACAAGTTTCAATCAAAACAAAGATCTGAGATATACATACCAATGTAGCAGTATCAATAAACAACTCATCTTTATCAGAACAACTGCAAATTTCTTTTCCTGCTGGGCTGCTTTCATCATGTTCCTGTAGACAATAAAAGAGTGTAGATTGAAAACAAAAAAAAAAAAAAATTTCTTTTTGCTGCAAGAGTGTAGATAATATGGACTCAAAAATTCAAGAGCTAGCGCGTCATTAGGATAACAGTGCCGGACCTCAGTAAAACTGGGAAGAAATACATTCTCAAGCGTTAAATATCCTTCTACCTGGGCAAGAGGAAAGCGAAAGTTAGAAACTAGAAAGAGAAAATTAGCAGGGAAAAATAGAATTTGAGGATTAAACTAATCCAGAACTAACAATCAAAAGGTATAAACATTAAACACGAACTTGGTGGGCAGAAATCCAAGGTCGTTTTGGACAAGGTACCCATGACCACTGAGGGAGAGCAGAGTTAAACTTTTTCCATTTCTCAGCAAATGCACAAGCAGCAATACGGAAATCAATTGATGAAAGGGTTCCATCCCAAGAAGACATATCAATAATTGCTTGATTGGAGACCATCACAGCCTAAGAAGATGACCCAGAAGAGATTTACTTAGGGTTGGAATGAAATTTAAAATCGAGAGAATACCCAAAATTTCTTTGCTATGAATGTAATTCCGAGGATTTGTATGTGTCTTCGAATATAAGATTAAGTTACTAAATGGGTATTCAGAAATCCATCAAAACACATCTATTAGAGCAGTTAGAAAGATGGCAGAGTAACATCCGTCGTTTGCATTCGCAAAAAGAAAAGCAGATCGCTTTGGGCTATGGAGAGAGTGTAGTAAAAGGGTAATCCTTTGCATCCCAAATTAGGGATGCCAAACTGCCTCTGGGATCCCAAATTTCAGATCCCTAGCACCGCTTGTAGTAAAAACTCGCTAAGATCTTTCAGCTTCTTTTTTTTCTTGAAAAACCCCAACTTATTCCAAGTGTTTGAGGAATTGACAAAACTACTCCCGAATGGATACATACACCTGTTTATTGCTCTTCCATTCCAGATCAAATATGGTCCTTCGAACCTTGGAATGGAGCTCCGCCAGAGAACAGAGCCAGGGTCAGCCAGTCCTCGCAATTTCTTGATTAATTTCTTTTTATTTCTGCGTCTGATATTTTCCGTCCTTCTTACACTAGCAATACACCACGAGCAATGCCCATATATAATTTTTTTAGACAAAAATTAATAAATAAATATTTAGTATATATATGTACTTAAATTAAATATGTAGCAATAAGTATTTCTCAAGATTTGTTGTTCTAACTTCAAGAAAAAGATTAAAAAAAAAGAAGAAATAGTTAAAATTCTATTTTTTTTCTAGAATTTTGTAATTGAAAGTAATTTTTTAATGATGTTTGAAAAATTAAAATTAATTTGATTAAGATTTCATTTATAAATCATGGAATAAAATAAAAATAATTGTCAGTATACTAATCATATTAGAACCTTATTATATTTAAAATTAATTAGGTCAATTGTGATAAGATTTAATATATTATGCTATAATATACTACAATCTATTTTCACATAAAATCTTAATGCAGTTTAAAACGTTTACTGTGACTAGAGAATCATGTAAAATTTTAAATACATTATTTTTTATCTTAAAAATAAAAGGGTTAAACATTTTGATAAAAATAAAATATACATATGTAGTCATAATATTATTTTTGTAAATGAAATGAATAATATTAGATCGATGGAGTTTTTAAATTTTTTTTTTAATATTTTATTAAAACTTATAATAGTGCATATATTTTTTAAGACTAATATATTCAATCAAAAATTTTCAATTTTTTTTGTATTTATACATAGATAATAGATAATTAAAATGATCTTAGATATAATTTAGAGATTTAAATACACAATGATATAACAATAATTTAGATATTAAGTGTGAAAAGATAAAGTACCATTTTTAATTCTTTATGGGGGTAAAATAGTGAATTAAATTTTTTTTATATTAAAGTACTTTTATTAATAATAATAGCAATATAGATAACTATGCTTGATCTTAACTTCCGAGTATGTGTTGATTTTTTTCTTGTATCACCTAATACGTTCTCAAATTATGTTTCGATAATATTAGTCTTGAAATACCGTGCGGGAAATCTCCTCCAACATATTTTTATTTCTTTGGTATTACCCGAAATTGAATCCCTTAATAAACCTGGATTGAATTAGAAATATTATCAGCATAATACTAAATTAATTAAGAGTGGCATTAATGTTGCTTAACGGAATGTCCTGTCAAATTTCGTCAACACTTTCACATGTACATGCATTTTGAAGGAGCCAATCTTCGTGGCACCTCTGTTTTCGAACTTTAAGGTTACAAATTTAAATCTCGTCGGCCCTCTCCCAAAAATAGTGCCTCATAACAAAAAAAATCCTTTATGGCATTGGATAATGTTTACTTTCTTCACCGAAAATATCAGTAAAGCTGTTCAATTCCTTCTACTACACTTCCTATATAGTCTCACTGTACAATTTATTCATGAAGCGCCACCCAGAAAAGCTTAGGCAGTTATTAGGAGCTAATACTAGCAAGGTTCATGTCACTGGCATGCCTTTGGCACAAGATTTGTACAATAAATAACACATAACTTTTACAACCAGTAACCAAAACTCCCATGTAATTCCCAGAGTTGCCATTAACTCTAACACGAAAACGAACAACCAAGTTGTTCACTGTGTTCTCTCCACAAATCGACATATACAATGGAAAATAATAATGTCAAAATTGAACAAAATTACTGATTTAAGATGAAGAAAAGTTGCCAGCTTCTGCGGATAGAATGAGGCCTCAAGCATCAGAAGGTGGACCAAAGTGATGGACTCGGCCTCAATTTTGAGGCTTTGATGGAGTTGGAGAAGACGGTGGTTTCATATCTGGGTACTACACAGAAGGACAAAGTTAGGCAACAGAAGCATGTATGCAGACGCAACCCAATTGTTGTGGCTTTAAATAAAAGCTAATCGTCATACAACCCGCGGAAACCTTTTTCGATGACATAGTCCGGGCAATCTTACTAAGCATTCAAGGTAAGAGAAGGTAGGGAAGTCTAACATTGTTAAATTAGAGTTCTCACACATAAGCATGAGTAGGCGGCTACATACATAATATGCTACTGTGAGATGAATGGCAAACCATTGAGACAAGTGCAATCCATTCCCTCCACCCACCCACCCGAAAAAAAAAAAGAAAAAGAAAAAAGTTAGTGGGGAGATAGAGAGAGAGAACATGTTCATACATTTGGGTAGGGCGATGATGATCTCCGAGCACAATTTGTCAGTGGGGTGGATTTAATGGATTTGTTAACATATCCATTGTCCATTTGTTCACTTCTGCCCTCAAGGGGAGTGATAACAGAGGAGTACTTCTTGTTAACTTCATTTGCCTGCTTCACCACTCCATTTGTCTCAAGCTGCTTTGACATTTTGACCTTCTTGCTGGGGTAAATATGCACAGATGGAGGGAGAAGGGTTTCCTGTATTGCCTGCAAGAAAGCAAAACAAATCTGTAAACACAGTGTACATCCAGCTTATGTAGATTCTTAGACACTTAAGGATATAATTCAAAAAAAAAAAAATGGATCCCAAGCATTTGAGTTGTTGCAAACCTATGATGAGGTGCTCAGGGCTATCAGAGGGAAACAAGATCCACTTCCAATTGTCCGCATAGTATTATTCCAACACACTCAACAACCCTTCGTAAGAAACTCCAAAGTTATCCAAAAATTGGAGAAAACTATGATAAAAGTTCCCTTTTGACACGCACACATATCAGAATATATCCAATGCAGCAGTTTTTTCAAGTAGTAGACTCGGGTGAGCCATTCACTTTTGTGTCGTAATCTTCAAAACTCCTCCAGGGACAGAAAAATACTAGACAAAGTTTTACTTAAATAGGGTTTTGTTTGTATATGCAAGTATAAACATGTATCTTTGCCAGGAATTCTGTGGGCATGTGCCAGTACCAAACAGAACATTAAAAAGTAACAATGTAATAAGTATAAGGTTCTCTAAACTGGATAAAGGTCAACTCTTTGCTAGTGTCCAAATGAAATGCCACACTTGGGCAACACAAGCGTAATGCCACAAGTGTTTTACAAACAAACTAAGGTAGAAGTAAGGTATTATCTAGCACATCTTAAGAAATTAACCACACTGAAAAAAATCATCACGTGACTGATAATGCGCCAATTATGCAACTGGTATGTATGAATGGTGCAGATGCAATGTGTCAGGAAACTCAGGACTTGAGACAATCACTCCCATGAAATCTTTGCAAGAAAAATATAAAATGACCTAATTATAACTAATGAATTTTTATATGATTGTTTAAGTTTGTCTGACTAAACATAAGGTAATGGCCACAAACTACAAACAACCGTAGCAAATATACAGGAACAGAAAATGTAAACTGCCTAATGGTTACCATTTGGAAGAAAGAAGAGAACTACCTGCCAACCCTTCTTGCCTCTAATCCCACCACGAATTGCATAAGCCTCTTTGAATCCATTTTTGACCAACAATTCAGCCACTTTCATTGAGTCACCATCAAAACTACCTTACACACAAAAGAAAGGGGTCAGTGACAAAAATAAGTCACGCCCTTTTTATGAAGAAAAACACGGCAAATTTATGAATTCTACAGCTTAAAGTCGTGTTACAACTAATTGAATAATTGATACATTACAAAGCAACACCAGTATCATTGATATCTCGTGTGTCAATGATCACTCTGAATGCATCAATAATGGTATGGTTTTAATCTAGTTATATGACTTTTTAAACGTACATCAGGCTCATGATAACTCAAACTGCATTAACCATCATAAATTCAGAATTCTACGTGGGTATGAATACGAAGAAAGTCACTTTGTTTATCTAATGCCAAAGGTTAGATTAGTACCCAGTCTATACTCCTACATCTCACAAATGGGGACTAAATTTGGGTGTTATCTTTTTGGCTTTGTACAACAACTGTAATTGGAACCCAAAAATGACGACATAATAAATTAAAAACTTTCAGTATTCCAAACTCCAATCTATTTCTGTTGTAAAACAATGTCATCACATACAGGTTAGTTTATCTCAAAGAAAATAATTCTTTGTACATAGAGGATTCAAATTTAGAAGTTGTCAAACTTACTTGTCTAGAACACAAATTGTAGTATTTTCAGGCTCCCTAAATTTCTCCAACACCTTCTTCACAAAACCTTCTCCATCTCCTTCAGAGAACTCAACCTGCACCACACCCTTATTCAAGATTTTCAAGTTGGGTGAACCCAAATAGCCCAAACTCTTCTTGTCCCTGATATCTAACAGCTGAGTACTTGGGTCATCCCGAAGTTTCCGAAAGGCATCAATGGCCGAGACAAACTTATATTTCTGCAAGTACTCTTGGGTTAGTGGGATGACAACCAACCAAATGAAAGTAACACCAGCAACAAAAAATGGGTTCCTGTTGAAAAAATCATCAACAGAGACCACAATTGCTTCTAAGTTAATTTTGTTGGATACTTCTTCAGTGGATACAGTGGTCTCAGAAGCAAAGCAAGAAAGAGGAAAGGAAAGTCCCACACAAATAAAAGAGATTTGAGTTCTCAAAAAAGTTTGGAAAGAAGAAACATTTTGGAAAATTAGGTGGTTCGTTGAAAGATTGGAGATATGGGTTGATGAAGTTTGATTTGATTCCTCATTTTCAGTGTGTGTTTGGGGCATCAGGGCGGTTTTCTTGGTCAAAGGAAAATAAGTTCGATGAGAATTGATGGAATGGGAAATGGAATTGAAGAAGGTAATGCGGTTTGGGAGGGGTTTTGGGGGCACAAAATTGGATTTTGAGATGAGTTTTAGGGTTTTACGGTGGTTTATGAAAGGTGGGGAAGACGAGAGGCCTATGGAAAGAGACTCCATGACGAGTGAAAACCAGGAGAGAGAGCGAGAGAGAGAGACGATAAGACGTGGCGCGATACTTAACGGCCGAAAGTGGGAACTGATTGCAGAGCTGTGCTTGTAATTAATAATTATTATCCAAAAATATATATAAGATTTTTCTCACTTTACGCACCGTAAGATTTTTAGATTTTAATTTTGTATTATTTAAAAAATAAATTATATTTTTAATGTATCAAAAATATTGTAATATAATTTTTATGTTAATTTCTGTTATTTTTTTTCAAAAGCAAATTTTGAAAAAAAAAAACGAAAAACTAAGAGAAAGATAATATTACAATGCTTTTCATATATTGAAAGTATAATATAAAAAATTTAATCTTTTTATAGTATAAAATAAAAATTTTGAAACAAAACTTTTATTATTTGGGGAAAAATCCTATTACTAAACAAATTTTATTTTTTGTTTTACTAAACAAAATTGTTGAAAATATTTATGAAGATTGAAATTGTTGGAATGTGAATGTTTTGTAGGGAAATAAAAAAATATAACTGCAGACGCTCTTTTTTTATAGAGGGTGCATATCACAAAAATATTCCAAAAAAAATTCAAAATTCTCTCTAATTTTAATTTATTTAACTCTATTAATACTAGATTATTCATTTTGTATTGATAGAGTAACTATATATGCCTATTTGTGGGGTCTTAACAGTTTTGCGTTAAAAAAGTTTTACTCATATCTGATTTATTTATTAATTCGTATATAATAAATCTTGTCATATAAGGTTTGTGTAGTGCATGAATCGTGTAAATTACCCGATTTATTTATTAATCGTGTCATATTAGGCTAACTTATTTATAAAATAAATTTATTTATTAATCATGTCGTATCATATTAATAAATCGTGTCATATTTTGATATTCTAGTAACAACCACTTGAATAATAAAATTTTATTTAAATTATTTCTATAGAGGAAATTAAAAAGAAATTAGTTATAGTCTGAATCTAAATCTAAAAATCACTAGCTTACTTGTGATAATTTCTAATGTTCTATTTTATATTCATAAATTTTGATTTTCCACTGACACTGTAAACCCTCCACAAGAAACACTCCAGCAGACAGAAGCCATTGCAAAGAACTAAAAGATCATAGACTCCAGAGACTCTTTTTTACCTCTACATGTTTGTGCAAAAACCTAGAGGATCACAATTTTACAACAGAGTTAGCCAAATATAGCAGAGTTGATGCAAAAAAAAAATGCAAATTAAAAACAGTGCATATATTAAAGGATCATAGTATCAGCTTTTACAACAGATTAAACATCAAGGCTAATTTTCCCCGTTTTCGGCCTTTTTTAGTGATAAATTTGATCATACAGAGCAAGATTAAACAAACTGAAGGGTTAACACTAACAGTTAAAAGGATCATAATCAAACTTCCACCATCCTACTAATTAGTGCAGATACGGGGCCTGGTACTGGTAGCCATTTCCAAAGTAGTTGCCATGAGCAGCTGATAGGTTGTAAGTAGCAGTACCCAGAAATGAGGGACCATGGCTGTCAGTTGGTCCGGGGTAAGCATAAGGTCTGTCGTAGATGTACTGAGGGTACCTATCGGTAATCCTAGCATAGAAGTTCTTGTCAACAGCAACATTGGTGACTCGGGGCCCATTTCCTACACCATTGGCACGGGGTCTTTTGGGTAGCGGTTTTGCAACTTCTGTTGCCCTTTTCTTGTCTGCCTTCGCCTTCTCAAGCTGGAGAACCCTTTTTTGGAGTGGTTCTAAGGGGTATTGCTCCTCAAGTTTGTGGTCTTCAATGCACTTGATCACAGCCTTAAGTGCAGTCAGCTCCCTTTCACTGACATCGGTCTGAAAACGAGGTAAAAATTAGTAGATTGTTCAAGATGCTAGCACAAACGTACCTACCAAAAAAGAAAGATGCATGCACAAAAGAACAATTGACATATCGACTGGGCAGAACCCATGAACATCCAGCATCAGCCCACATTTTACTAAGTGGTTCCAAATACTTCAACATGGCTGCCAAAAGTTTAAACGAGATTATCTGCAGGTGATACTGTAATGAAAGTATCTGAATAAAAACGCTCAACCAAAGCAACACTGAATATTTTATCTATACCCTACCAGATACAGTATATACCATCACCACAATGATGAGGACTCTTTGTTTAGATGTCTCTTTAATCATAACAGCCCATTGTTGCAGCACTCTGTTAGGTTACCAGGAAAAGCACCAGATACGTGCATTTACAAACAATGTCATCTTTCAGTAGGTCCCATTTAGTGCATAGCATGCACTTCAAATTAATAACTATATTGCTAGTTGCAATTTTTTGCAATTATTGGAAAGTAAGGGAAAAAAAGTACACCCAATTTTACACATTGAGGAGGAACGAAACATACCTGCATAGTAGGAGATGTATTTCCAGGTTTAACAGGTGAAGACACCTTCTTTGCCTCCGTCAAGTAAGATTTCAGTAACGAGACAGGTGAAAACTGCCCTGTAAGCTCAAATGCAAAAGCTAAATTAACAGCATCAATTTGCTTCCCATTATTCACCAGCACATCGATTACACCTGTAGAGCAGTGAGCCACATAAAAATCTTTAAAGTCTGTGGCAACCCATATTCTTAAGCAAACAAGAAGAAAATTTTATTTGTGTTAGTCTCCTAAAATCCAAGTACAAATGTGATGTTCAATAAAGCATAAATCTAAAGGCCTAGTTTATTAGTAAGTAAAAAAGAATTTAACAGATTAATCTATACAGAACAAAAAAAAAGATCTATCTAAAAGAGTATGGCATTCTGTCTCTAAATCGGGTTTATTTTCTCCTGGACCTCATTATCTTAGTCATCCAGCGGATCAGAAAACTAAAAAGGGAATATTTCCCACTTCTACCTTTTGTACTTGCTGGGCAGTACAAGGCACCAGATTTAGTGTCTGGTAGCATGGATTCAAATCCAAAGCGTTTATCCTGGTGTTCTAATTTTACCCATGTGGAAGAGATAAGAAAAGGTCGCCAGCATTTTGGTTACAAAAGGATCTAGGATAAAAGAGACTGCATTCCTACTTTGCAAGTCAATTGGATGCTTTCTTAACATGTTGCTCTGCCAAAGATATTTCCAAAAACTGCAAGCACTCTCGTTGGTGACTCGAATACCTAGCAAACAATAATGGAGCTAGATCCAACCACAGGTGGCCCTCAGACCCAAGAAAAAACAGTGTGGGGCCACATTCAGTTTATGATCAGTTTTAAAGTAAGTACATCTGGTGAAGTTAATATCTACCCAGATATTACATACCATGTTTTCACCCACTGAATCCCCCCCCCCCCAAAAAAAAAAAACCAAAAAAATTAAGCAAAGGACAAGCAAAACATAGGACCCAAAATTTTAAAATAAAAGGCACAATTAGTTAATAATAAACAAAGACCAACCTGGCATTTTGTCAGACAAACCAAGGAAGCGGCAAAGATCAGCTGCTTGGCGACGACGAGAAACCATAGGTATGAGCTTGGATAAATCTTCATGATCAAAATCAGAATTGACACCAAAAGTAGCTAGAAGTTGTAAGAATGCATGTGCCTCCAAGGAGTTTCCATTGCTGGCATCCATATCAAGTTCATCTAACTTTGGTTTCCACACTTCGGCAATAACCTTTGCTCGTTCCTTAACATTTTCTGAGACTATATCAGAAGCAGAACCCAGATCCAGGGTTGTTAGTAAAATGCTAAGGCACTCCATCAACATAATACAGGTTCGGCGTAGACCTAAGAGAGTTGAATCCTTCTTTCCATCAAGATTTGACAATTCTGAGCTGTAGAAATCCTTGAGGGAGTCCAGAACCAGACAAGCAGGGTCAGCTGCAGCCTTTAATGCAATGGGAATTTCCTCCCTTAGAGCGACAAGATTCTTACGGTTGTCTGATATGAATTTATGGAGGCCTGCAGAATCCATCTCTTTGCAAAGATTGACAAGCTCAGGATAAAACTTCACCTCCACACTGGCAATTTCAGAAGGTTTTTTCGCATCTTCTAAGTTACTCTCAGCGGCCATGGAATCAGGTGATTTTTCTTCCACAACGGGTGCTTCACCTTGGTCTTCGCTATTAACAACAGCAGGTTCCACAGCAAATGCCTGCCCATGGTTCTCCAGAGCATTAGCAATGGCATACACCGCCGCATCTCTTTTCTCTTGGAGCCTCTCCAATGAAGCTTGTTCCTTGGCCACAACAGCTGCTTCACGTTTTTCCAACAACTCTTTTGCTTCAACTGTTTTGGTATCAAACTCTTTTTCTTGGTCTTCCAATTCATTGAAACGCCTCTTCAAGGACTTCTCAAGTCCATGAAAATGTTCTTCAAGCTGCTTCCATTTCAAGTTAAGGGTAACGGCTCGGTGACTTTCAAGCTCAGCGAATGCTTTGTGAAGTTGTTGTATCTTTGAGGCTGTGGAGTCTATGAGTGTAACAACTGACTGAGTATCTTCCATGACAGAGAAGCCCTAGACAAGCTGTAAACACACAAACTTATTTAGTCATTAGCACTGTAGCAATAAGGAATGAACAAATTTGCCAGCTGAAAAGAAAAAAATCGGAATTACTATAAGAATATCAATTAACTCCATCAAATATCTCTGCGTAATGAAATCTCACAATACTTTCCAAACAATGAACTTTGTTTTGAATTATGTTGTAAAGGAAAAGAATTGTGTAGGCTGAAGTGAACTTGTTACAGCACACATATAAGAGCACTTCAATCATAGTAACGGTGAGAGGATCACCTATGTTACACATATCATCATAGAACAGGTTTAAAAAAAAACAAAGAGGGGTTGGGGTGGGGTCGTGCTGGAGGGGCAAGAAGCAAAAATGAGAGACCAAATTATCAGTTACATCTTAGAAAACAAAATTCAAAAACACAAGAACTAAGGAAAACGTTAATATATCAAGCTAAGATACTGGTTTCTTTAATACCAGCTGATTTATTGAATGATCTTATAAAATAGATCAACTCATAAACACCTCCAAGAATTGAAGATCCTATTCATTGTCAAAAAGATTAAATATATCAAGCTAAGGCACAGTTTTCTTGAATAACAACTGAATGATCATAGAAAATAGATAACCTCATGATAACCTCCAAATTTGATGACTACAAAGCTAGATAACATGAGTACTTACTGAGAGTAGTTAAATTCAAGTGTTTCCCAATAGTATTATGACTACAAGCCACATTTTTTGGGACTTTTGATATCCACAAGCATATACATCCAAATGTCATTGTTCAGATCAGTATTAAGAGCCAGATTTGGTGGAAACTGAGCCCCTTGTTTTCTTGTTTCAGAAGGAGAAGGGTGGACAAAGATTTCAGTTAATAATCATGTTAACTCGTCGAGTGATGTGAATTCAAGATCTAAGATTTGAGCTTTCTGGCATTTGAAATACAAAAATAATAAAATAAAAATCAAGGACATGCGGACAGCGAATTTTAATTTCTGTTTTAGTGACTAAGCAAACTACGCACATATGTCCCGTTCTGGACTTGAACCCTGAATCTCTCAATTTAGGGGGGGTCACCCAAGACGACACTCAATCGACAGCAGGTGTTATCAGATCTTTAGAGGATTAAAATCAGTAAAACTACAGTGAAAGAATGCATTTATCACCAAAAACTAGAGAACTTAATCCACTAATGTTTTCCAACTTGCCACTTTGGAGAAGGCCAAACCTTTTACAGGGGCCTCACTTAAGTCCTGAACATATATGCCCAGTCAGAACACGCAGAGTAAACCATTTTATTTGACATACTGCTTCCCAATCAATGAGTGGAAAAAGCCCTTGTCATTAATCACAAATCAAAAATACTTCTTATTTCCCAGGAATAAGAAGACATAAATTCCAAACCATTTTGAAACTAAAGTGTCAACCCGATAATTTTAAATTTCCATTCCGTAAAACAATCAACACAGGAAGTAATAAAAGAAAGTGATCATAAAGAAAGAACACTAGTCATGTAAAAATTCAACTCTGATTAGGAAAGGTAAAATTAATTAAACGATTAACCGTTTGAAGTTTGATATAGATTCGATTGTGCCAGAAAATGTGTTAACGTCAGCCACTGATACATGGATCAACAAGCACACTGAAAATATAAAAACAGATAAACCATAATTACGAAGAATAAAGACCAAACAACGTCAATTACACTGATAATTGCAGCAGAACTATAGCATTCTTACCAAGAAATTTGCTATAATTGAAGCTGAATTTTGAAATTAGGAGCTAATGAACAAGTGTTGCTCTGAATAGTGAATAAGCAGTCTAAACAAATGACTGAATGGTTCATAACGAAATCTAGTTGACTTACCGGATCGGTATAACACGTGAGGGAGACGAGTAATCGCCGGAGAATCAAACCATTTTTGGATGAGCGAGTGGAGTGTTGGTTATGAGGGTTTGCGGGACGCTGCCAAACCCTTATTACAGATGAGAGAGAAAGAGGAAAGTAGCAGTTGGAATAATACTTCAATTTATCGCAGCATTCAGACAGAAAGACACACACACACGCACACACACAACCTTTTTCCGCTTTTTCATTGGGGCACTCTTGTTTTTATTATTACCGCCTAATATAGTTTGGATATGCAAAGGAGAAAATATTCTTTACAGGCTGCGCTTCATGTGCGGTGGATATCACTATATTATTAATAATTTGAGAAAATTTTAGTCACACCCCTCCTAGTTTATTATATCTTTAAAGACACGCCCCCTATTATCAAAAAATCACTGACACCCCTTCTAATTTATATTTAAACATCACTAACACCTCATTCCATTTCTAACAAAACAAATTCATCTAAAATACCAAAAATGCCCCTACATAAACCTCTAATAAATTTTCTACATAAAATTTTATTAAAATTCGAGTCGATTAAAATTTATTTATTTACATATTAACATTTAAACAAATTAAAATTCGATTGAAGCTGACTATATTTTATTTTTTTAACGTATTAAAATTCGAGCCTATTAAATTTTATTTTTTACGTATTAAAATTTGATTTGATTTGAATTCTACATGAGTTGTTAGCGCCGATTAAAATTCATTTTCGAGTTGATTAAAATTTATATTTTTTTACTTATTAAAATTCGATTTATTAAAATTTAAGTCAATTAAAATTTATATTTTTTTATGTATTAAAATTTGGGCTGATTAAAATTCAATGCGAGTTGATTAAAATTTGATTTGAATCGATTAAAAATAATTTTTAATTGGATCAAATAGAATTTTAATTAGTCCAAATTTTAATAAAAATATAATTTTTAATCAGTTCAAATTTTAATATGTAAAAAAATAAATTTTAATTAGTTTAAATCAAATTTTAATCGACTCAAATTTTAATACGTAAAAAAAATTAGAAAACAGAATAGGTCTCATTAAAGATATGCTTATCTAGAAGGGGTGTGAATGAAGTTTATCCTCAAATATATCGTGGGTAATTTAATAAAATTACATTTTAGTTAAAAATTTTAATCTGATAAAAGGTGTCAGTGAAGATTCAAAAAATAGAAGGGTGTCCTTAAAGATATGATAAAATAGAGAGGGTGTGGTTAAAATTTTTCTTAATAATTTTCAATAATTAACAATTTAGAATAGTGAAGTTCATTTATAGTAGGGGATAAATTTTGTACAATCGTTGAGGTAATGATACTTAGATGAACTGGATTTGAGATTCCTTAAGCGAGCAACGTAGTTAAAAAATTGTCAAATGCATATCCGACGTATTCCTCTTCCAGTTTAAGTTAACGTTCGAATGAGAGGACATGAATTTTACAATCGACGTTGTATTCTTGTGATCCAATTTTTTAAATTATTTATACATACCTTGATATAGGCGTCGAGTCTAAATGATCATATCACGTCAGTGTGACTTGATACTCAAGAGGATGACATGCCCGTGGCTATTCCTATCCTCGAGTCGTGCATTTATTAACACTAGGGAAGGCCATTGGTTATTCGTGATTTAATGTCATAATGATTATTTTGCTCGACAGACCGAGTGTTTAATGATCTCTATTAAGCATTTAATGAGTTTTGCCGAGCATTAAAATAGTGAACGCTGACCATTAACTACTGCACCCTGGGACACTTCTGGCCAATCCATGTAAGTAAAGATTATGCTTTTTATTCAACATTTGCAAGATTTAATACGAGTCTACACGTAGATGTGATGACAGGTAATCATTTTCTTATAATTCGCCGCACTAGTCTTTACAAGTGATGCTAATGGGTCCTTATATCGAATCAGAATTACTGTTTGCGTACAAGACAAGATGTTTCAGGGGGGCCTGCAAGTAGTCCCAAGGATGTTTGAAGAGGTTTGATCTGACGGGTCTGTCTCGGGTTGAATTGTCTCGAATACAATACTCTTGGATTTATCCTTTCCAAATGTCCCTCAATGATAGGCATATCGATTCATATTTCGTCACTATATGATGTATTATTTTTAATTAGTGATACCACACATCACTAATAACATGATATTACCGCTACATATCACACTAAGAGATATTTGATTTGAGGGATAAAGTGAGATATATTGGGTAAAATTGTCTGAGGGCCCACATATCCCTTGTTTGGATATGCAATTTTGGGTGGGATATTCGTTGGGTTAGAAATACTTGGCCCGTAGTAAATGGAGCCTAAATCCCTTATGATTGGGATATCTGTAACCCATTCTACGTGTGGGTTAAAAGACCAGCCAACTGGATATGCTGCCCAATTACTACTATGCCCTTGTTTACAGTTAAACCTAGCCAGCAACCTTTTTCTGATCTCTCCCCACTTTCTCGAGCAGCGACGACTACGGAGGAGGGTGGTCGAACTTCGACACTTGAATCAATAGTTTTTGAGGTAATTTTATGGAAAAAAAATTACCATTATATTGGTTTTTTTTTGTGCTATGCTAGCTTTTTTTGGTTTTTTTGCTTCGGTTTGTATAGGTGTTTACGGTGATTGTGGAGTGGAGGTTATTGGGTGAGAGAATGGGTGTTTACAGTGGTTGTGAAGTGGGGTTTTTGTGCTTCAGTTGATATGGGTGCTTTCAGTTGATGAGGTCGATCGTCGTCGGGAATGGATTCGTTCTATTTTTTGGAAATGGTAGGCCTCTCTCTCCCCTCTTCCATTGTTCGGTTCACTAGAGATCCATTCGAAAATTACCCAGTTGACATAGATCAGATGTTTATTCAGAATTTTTCTCTCTATGATTATAGGATTTGTACTAAATCGGATTCAAGGATTTTGGTTGAGATGGTCACGAGTTTGGTGGAAATTAATTGGAAGGGGTTGTTGATCAAACACTGAAGATATATCTTGACTGGAACGATTGGGGATTAGCCGGTTATTTCTTCTCATCAAATATACCAGGTCACTCAAGATTTCTCCTAATACAAGATTATCACCAACTAAGCTTCTTAAGGATGACGACTT